GGAGGCCGGAGAACGCGGGCGCCTGCCCAGATCTAGAGCCACGCAACGGCGGCGGCACCAGCCAGATCCGGGCAGATGCACGCGCGCCTGCACCAGCATAGGTCGTGCCCGGCTCCACCGCACGCGCCGCACAGCAGCCAACCCCGGGAAACCCCGAGCCGCCGGAACTCGAGAGTTTGCCAAGCCGGATTGCCGCCGCGCACCACCACGACATCCACCAGCCGCAGCCAGCCGCCTGGAGCTCCCAAACGGAAAAAGGCAGGTCCCACCGCCGCCAGCCGCCAGCGGGCTTTGCCCAGCGACGTGTCTTTTTATATCAATTGAAATTTTAAATGAGTTGACTAAAGTATAAATAAATTCAATAATACATGCATGGCCACGCATCGCCCGTCGGTCGATCGGCCGCCGCCGCAGCTGTGGCATGTACCAGCGTCTTCTCTGCAGTGGCAAACAGGCGGTGCTGCTGTTCGTTTGCAGCCTTGCAGTAATTGTACGTCCTATCATCGCTGAATCAGTAACAGAAGAGAGTAGTGGTAGAAATTAAGATGCTGAGGTGTGACACATAATACTACTAGTTATTACTTTGCTAATATATAAACATGCAATAAATACCACACTATAGCATATAAGCTTCGAGTTATATACTGTATACATGATATAGATGTTCGTTTAATTCTTATAGTTCATTTCATTTAAAATTAATTAGTTTTTATAAAAAAATTAATTTATTTTAAGATTCATGAAATTGTGCGTTGTAAAGCATAAAGTAAAAATAAATAATGGCAATTCATCTAAAAAAAGAAAGTTTGGGCAATGATGATACAGAAGATTCTATAACAAAGAAGAAGTGCTTGTGTTTTGAGGTTTGTGCATTACTTAAGTTCAACCATGGAGTCTTCTAGATTGTACATATGGCAGAATCTGATAAAATGTAGATGATATCCAACAGCCACTAGTGCTCGGATTTGCTATCCCTGCACCGTCGGATTGGCTTCATCCAATGATAATTTTTTTAAAATTATTTGCACATTATATAAATAAGGGTGTGGCTTTCGATCGCCCAGCTCAGCTGACTGTACGTACGTACAGCGACACCTGAAGACGAGGGAAACGTGCTCGGCTCTGGGCTGTAGGTGCAACCAGACCGGCGACCTACACGAGCATGGCACACGTACTAGCCGGGGCCTCGCTGACAGTTCGGGCGGATGGTTCCAGGTCCACGCACGGGCGTGCTGGCAGCTCACCCGCCGTGCCTCCAACCAAACCCGGACCGGACGGACCCAAGACGAAAACCTCGAGTTATCCAGCAATGTCAAGAGCGATCTGTACGTACGACCATGCATGTCCTACTGCGATCCATGAAATCTATGATTAAACCTGCATGCATGCGTCTCCATCAGCTCACCTGTCTATCTATCTGTCTGTCTGTCTGTGTGATCGACCAAAGGAGAGACAGAGAGCTCGTGCATGGGACAGAGAAGAAGAGAGGAGAAGGGAAGAGAAGAGGAACAGCGCAAGTTGCCTCTTATTGCGTCGCCTGGCCGATCAGCTGCTGCTGGCTGGTGTGACGGTGTCTGTCCCTCTGTCTGGCCCGGCCGATTGACTGACCGGCTCCATGCCATGGCATGGCATGCAAAAGCTGGAGCCGGACACCTCAACGTGGGCTCGATATGCAGCCGCGATTGATCGATTGATCGCCCGCCGATAAACAAAAGGTCCAGACAGCTCCAACCGGGTCGCAACAGCAGCACCGCAAGCAGACCAAAGGTTGTAAAAGATCTCAAAGCCTCAATCACTGCCGTGCATATTACGATCTAGTACGTGTTTCTTTTCAAAGATGTTAACTATTCAAGTATCTCTGCCCTCTACAACGACTCAACGTCAAACGACTAGTCGAGACATGGACGATGCACACAGTCACACCAACTCTGAGCTCTGAACGCAAAACATGCGTGATTACGAGGAGAGGAGACACCGGATATTCGCCTCGAGGTCCGTCCTAATGCGAGGTCTTTGTTGGAACATTGGACAACTGTGGCGATGGAGACCATGAGGCTGGTTGTAATGGTAGTATCATAGTTAGTATTATGCATTGGCAACTAGGCAATTTTGATGAGATGTCATAACATTAAATGAAGAAAAAGAGGGTGTAGTATCATATCATGATACCATATCATAATAAATGTTATACTACTTTGCGTCATGCATGCCAATAAATAGAGTAGTACATGATACTAATATATGATACTATTCATTAGGAAGGTAGTATCATACACTAATATCATATACATTATACTAGTATATGATACTCCCCGTTACAATCAGCATGATGTAGCCAAGCAGCTGTTCTTGCATTGAATCTTATGATACCTATTACCTAGATAGATTAATTATTGGTATATTATACAAGAAGCAGAGCAGGTGGCAATGCTTTTCGCCGTTCAGCAGTTGACTATCGTATGTGTGCATTCAAGTCAAGTGATGCGTGACATCCAAACCGCCTCCGTATAGATGGTTGGCGTTGATAAACATAATATTCAGATCGGCACGAGCTCCTACGGCACCTTGTAACCAACGTTGACGGGAGAGATAGACTACTGCACGGATGTTCTTATAGCAGAAGCCTTACCTCTCAAATTTAGCCTAAATTTAGCGCAAAGGGTGGGATGTCATCGCCTAATCATCAACTCTGACAATTTTGAGGTGATTGAGACCATGCAGGACGGAGGACATTCAGCGGGAGCGGCGGCGGCAATCTTCGATGACTGCTATCACTATGCTTGTGACTTTATCATGACTAAATTCGAACATTATAATAGAGAGGCAAATAAAGTAGCACATGAACTTGCTAGATTAGCTAGATTTTTTTCGACTTCGGATTGGTTTAAGGAGCCTATTAATGAAATTGTGACGCTTTTCTCACAAACGATGTATTGGTTATTGCTAATGAATAAAATTTCGTTTTATTTCAAAAAAAAAATGTTGACGGGAGAGAGACGGAGCCACGTAGCCGAGGCCCTGTTTGGTTTCAATAAATCACCTGACTTATAAGTCAGGTGACTTAAAACCAGTGACTTATAAGTCACGCCTGTTTGGTTGTCATCTGACTTATAAGTCATCTGAACATACCTTCTCACCTTGTTATTTAATGTAAAGGTGATGGTGATGGGACCCATGCAAAAAAGGTGACTTATAAGTTTTAAGTTGGGGTGGTGCAACTTATGACTTATAAGTTGGGGTGACTTATAAGTTGGGTCCGTTTGGTAAAATAAGTTACTTTTTTCACTTTTTGACTTATAAGTTGGTGACTTATTTGGAACCAAACAGGGTCTGAACCAGGTCCATACATACGTCAACAAAATGTTACTATTAGGACTCCTTTGACCTTTCATAGCACTAGATGACCCGTTGCGCCGAAGGCGCAAGGGGCAAGAGTAAGGCATGTATTGTGAGAGTAAACATAAAAATATTTAGGGGCAGATTGGTACACAGAATATTTATAATGCTATTAGAAAGAAAGGAATAAGCATTATGCTTGGCGAAAGATCAGTAGATGGATGTGGTGCACATGAGTAATAGCATCTGGGGTTACATAGATTATAATATAGGCGGCAGTTCTACAAAAGCAATGCATGGCATCATTGGAGACCACAGGTAAGGTTCATCCTATCATAGAGCCAAATTAGATGTTTTTAAAGCCACAAGCTATGCGTGCAGAAGGCTTGTGTTGCTGTTGATGGTCCATTTAGAGCACATGGATGATGAGAGTCAGGCAGTGCTCTGCGGTAAGGTTGAAATGGAAGGTGCATATATCTCCTTCATGGATGCTTGCACAGCGGCGGAACTCTGACCAGTTTCTGGTTATTGTTGCTCTCTTGTCTGTTCCCAGCATGATACGACAATTGGTGTGCAGACTGCTGTTTGCGAGCTTGACCTTGAGCATGTCATCATCTGGCTTAATGTACTTTTTGAGGTTTTCTTTGGTGTAGTGGACTGGAAAATACTGGTACACGAAAGGAACTAATTAAGTGGATTGCAGAGCGTTGTTTGACTTTGAATAAAAAGCTTCGAATGAACACAGTTTAAATATAGTCAGTGAGAACAATTGTAAGTAAATAATGGCAAGAAAGAAAAGAAGGGTGCAGAGCTACATTCTCTCGTATGTAGAATATAAGTTGTAAATTGGTTGTTTATGGATGTATGGAACTGTAGTGAAGCAGAACAAATATAGTAAGGATGGAAACATGTATATCAGACAATATGAATATTCGTGCTAATAGCGGTGTACAAAGTTTTTTCAATATTTCGCAATAAAGTTTAGTTGTCGGGCATAGTAAAGATAATCATTTTTTTCAATTAAGTGGAAGGAAGGAGCGTACCATCCGTTGGCCTTGCTGTGTGAATGTTTTGTTGACGGTGCAGACATAGTATTTGATATCTGGTATTTTGCGGGGGAATATTGCATACAACTTGTCCACATGGTGCCGATAGAGCTTCACTTCATTTCCCCAGTGACAGTACTTTTCAAGCTCTCCGCAGTATTGGATATTAGGGGGTGGTCCTGAATTTAGTTTTGTTTTGGTAAGATCGAAATGAAGCGGTACAAGTACGAAGGTCGAATAATATCTATTGTTAGGAGACTAAGATTTCATCAAGAGAGTAGTAGAGTTAAACTTTAAACCTATGGTGGGAAGAACATAGTAAGCAAGTTAGTTTAGTTGAGTATTATTGATTGGCCTTATATATGTTTTTCTATGATCGGTACTGAATTTAAATGGAAAATAATTGCCCTTGATTTCGCGTAGCATCAGAAACATAAGTCAAGGTACTACAACCTCTCAAGCCCCAATTCAAATTCACCAATCTAACCACCATATATACATATCTTAAGTTGTGAAGAATAGGTAAACTATGGAGAATAATAGAACATGTTGGTAAGCACTGCTAGCCTGGCATTGGCTCACCTCGAATGATGTACTCCAGATGTTCGTATTCTTCACCCTGTATAAATACCATGAGAATTGTTAGTGTGAGACATTAGATAATTGGTTGATGGAATAGCAATTGTGGGTGTACAATTAAATCATGCACTGTAAAAGAGCAGTCAAATTGAAATTTTGTCTTATGAATGAGCAGTTTGATGCTCTCACACGTAGTACCGCATGCACCCGTGATTGGATTACTTCTTGTTGGGGGGAAAAGCAAGCGCAACGAAGTTTCAGAAATACCACTATAGGGAGTGGGGTAGGCGAAGGATCAAGCCTGATAAGCTCCAACAAGGGTTTTAAACCAGTTCGTCAGTAACACACGAACTGAAGGAGTAGATGGATAAAATAATTAGCTTTGACTATCTTAGGCAATACTCCGACAACGAGGACATTTTTTTGAATTAAAGGTATTCCTCCCTTGATTTCATATGGAGAACCCAAGTGTTGTGACAGCCAAAACACCCCCACCTCAAGCATACCAAACCGCACACCAACAAAGATTAGAATACTTAGATGGTATGTAGCATAGCAGGGAGCAGAACTAAGCAGCAGGACAAAGATGAAAATTATACCTGAAATAGTAAAGAACCATGTTTCTAATTATTTGCCTCTCAGGAAAGATAAGGCTTGCATATAATGACCTTCGGATATGATCAATCCATACCATCACCATACTCTTCTAGGCAGGCAAGCAAACGAAAAAAATATAGGGGAAACATTTATGTGTGCCCGTCTCTTGGCGAGGTTGCCCAATATTTAGAGACATACAGAAACAAAAGAGGAACAGATGATGTTTTTTTTGGGTACAACAAAAAAAACTGAAGATTTTTCACCACACATGTTTACTCGATAGTAAAGTATTCTGCTAGAGTAACAGAACAATATCCCTTCTTTGACCACCTATAGTTTAAATTGTCAGCACCACGCCCAGAGTATGGATCGTGTGATGCATAGCAGGTATATAAACCATTGAAGTAAATAACGACAGAGGTTGTATGTAATTATGTCAGAAAAGTCTGAAAATTTGTGAAAATGTGAAGTATTTGCCAAAGGATGGAGAGGCAGGTCAAAGATGAGGTGGTGGATTCATGGATAAAATAAGATTGAGTGATTCTAAAACTCAGTGTGAGTCGCACCTGTTGGGATTCGGAATCGGTGGCCGTCGTTGAGGAAGAAGAAAACGGCGCTTGTCGACGGGGTTCGTCCCGCGCGTGAGATTGGGTCATTGCCGTAGAAGAAGACGAGGGCCGGCGATGATGACTGGGTGCGCTACGGCGGCTTGGATCTGCGTAGCCGTGGTGCTTGGCAAGGTGTCTCCAGTATTGGCGGCAGATCCTGCACTTCGCCATTGTATCGGGGGAAACCCTAGAGGCAGAGGGTGAGTGAAATGGGGAGAAGGGCGTCTCTGAGCAGCCGAGTAGGTTATTTATGTGCTATAATCAGGGTGATATTTACGACTGAAAGCAGAGGCGTCTTTTTTGTAGGGGTCGGAAGTGTAGGCGTCTGCTCCTATTTTACTTGCGTTGGGATGGTGTACATGGGCCTGGGGTGACTCGCGGTGCAGTAGTGGGTGGCACTACCGTGTTTCGAATGGATGAGGTTTTTTCCCTCTGCGAGGAATGGAGGAGGTATTTTTCTTCCTGTGAGGAATGGATGAGTTGTTCTTAGTTTAGTTAGTATTTTTTATAAAATTTATGAAATCTTTTAAAAATATTTGTGAATTTTGTATGGAATTAACGTTTTTTGGGGGACTTATGTTTTTTTGTAAGCCATGTTTTTCTTTTAAGCTTCTTAGATTGTCTTTGACATAGATTTTTTTGGGAAGCATTCTTAGTACATGGCGTTGATATAGAAAAGGCATTTTGTTTGCTAGCTCATGGGCCACTCAAAAGCGTACACAGTATGTGAGTAAATACGGTCATGGACTTCAATACATGGACAGTAAAGAGGTGGTTTAACTATGTAGTCTTCTGAAAATAGTAGGAGAAAGACAATTATTTACATAGAGAACAAGCGATGACAAAGTGAGTTTAACCATAGAGATAACAACACAATTTAAAGTTGATACACTGCTTTTAGTCAAAGATGTAGCAATGGAAGGCTACAATACATATCTTACTTAGAGGGCTCCAAAAGGACCCATAGACCATGTTGCTTGATATGAAACAAAAGGAAGCTGTTCTAGTAAGCTTAGAAGCGTCCTCGTGAGCGCATATTGACCGAAGTTCACCAAAAGCTATCTTTTGTAGTCTCCAGGCGTTGTTCAGACTTCGTACCAATATAGCGCAGCCTCTGTGTCAGTTTTTCAATGCTTGCAAGTGATGATTTCACAGCCCCTTTGGTGTTATCTTGCCCTTTCAAGTGTCGAGCAGTTGTTGTGTTTTGCATTTGAATAGAATATGAACTCATATATCTGACAGCGTAGTACCGGCCTTTGCGTAGCTTCTTGATTGTCTTGTTCGCTGCTACTAACCATCTGACCAGATGCTTGACTTCATTTTCTAGCCTCTTGACATGGGTGTAGTGATAGTCTCTCATTTATCTGCCGTATGCATTTTCCATGTACCTAATAGCTGCGATAGCAGCACTGTCTTCCGCATCTTCATATGCATGTAAAATTGCACCCGATATTGAGGTCGGAACAAGCAAACCATCAATCAATTGCAACGAAGAATTGAAAGTAACCTTCACACGATTCTTGCCGCCTGGACATATCTTGTGATAGTAACTTGCAGGGGGAAACTTCAAAGCTTTTAGCATAAGGTCAAATATGTGGGCATAAGGAATTACTATCAGGTAGGCATCTTCCTGTGGAGGAAAAGTAATGGTATGTCAAATATCATGATTAGGAACCAGTGAGAATGATTGTTAAAATAATAACGATGTATTCTAAATGCATATATAACGCAAAATATAGTGCACTATATTTTCTATGATGAACTATCTATATGAATTCAAAAGCGTGTCCCTGACTATATGTATTGCATCTCAATATGGAAGAAGTATTTCAAACATTTCCTAAAGGATTAGTGCAAGAGAGGTCAAACAGAATTATGTTTTTTCGAGTCTTCTGAGTTTGAAGCACAACATGGATTTGAAACAATTCACCCTTTCAAGTTTCTTTAGTTGAGATGACACTATTATGTCCTGATGACATAAATATGCTATGTGCCTCACATGGAATAAGTGCTACAAAGTGAAAAATTAGTCTAAACATTCTCACTAAGGATTTAGCTACAGAGAAAGGGAAAAAAGAGTGGCATGACCAGTACATTCAAAATGTAGAACAATAATGCTTTCAGCACTAATAACCTGCGAAATTTGACATCTCTAGGACCAAATTATGTGTAACAGAGGCCGCATAACATATATTAAAGTGGCACATTCTAAAATCTGAAATCTTTGTGGATTAAGTGTGATCAAGTGGCCTCCCACTTCCGAAAGATATAGAACATGCAGATTTGTGATGTACGTATGCAAATGTAGTTTGTTTTCTTGGAGGCTGGTTGTTTCACGGAAAACGGTTGCACTGTTCATATGAAACTCTTCCTCTGAGAAATGAGTCACAATAGGGATTCAGAATGTTACCCTGGGTTCAGGTGTTCTTGTCCTGGATAATGCCGAGGCTGAAGATCCCTCGTCACATATAGCTCCAATGTCCATGTCGTCCATGCGTGATTTGTTGGATCTCAGCTGGAAGAAAGAAATTGAGGTGAGGGGAAAGTGGAGAATGAGGGATCAATGAACTTGGGTGGTGAATTACCTTTGTTGTCACAGGCGTGGATGACTCTTGCTGACATCGCTGAGTAGGGGGGAGGCTAGGTGTACGGCGAGGTGGAGGGGAGGAAGGAAAAGAGGCCTTGGAGGGGGCGAGGGGACGAGTAGGAGTGGGTGGAGCAGGTGGGAGAGGACCGAGGAGGCGGGGGCATCTTATCCTCTCGTCGGCGACGTGGCGGCGCCGGGTGCCGCACCTGGTCCAGGGGGGACGAGCGGTGAGGAAGGGGTCACGGTCGGAGGAACAGTGTGCGGGGTGGGAGATGATAGAGGGGGAGGCCGGGCCAACTTGGCCTGTTGGGCTGGCGTGGCCCAGGGTGCAGGGGAAGTTCCCATTTTCTTTTCCCCTTTTCCATTTTTTTACTTCCTGTTTTCTTTTTTAGTGTACACACCCTAGCTTTTCTTTGATCTGCTTTCTATACGGAGGTTGGCTATTGATTTCATGGTTGCAAGGAGGGCAATACCTAGCTAAATTTCATGATAATAGTGCGTGAGTTTGCCACAATTTGCTTGTCGACTGGAATTAGTATTATGTTAATGAGAGCCTAAACCTTAGGATTAAATATTAAGTTTGTAACGTTTACCATACAAGCATGGACTCTAAAGCAGGAAACATTACACTGGTAATTATAGATACGGTAAGTAAATATTTTATAACAGATTTCAATGCCTAACAATGATATCCATAGAATATGAAAATAGCTTAGTTTGAATTTTAAATAAGGGAATGTATGACTGGGGTTGACCATGGCTTTATGAGTGCCAAACACTGGTTTTTCAAATATGCGACAAACATAGTATTTGGCTATTGTGGGTACCTGGACAATCGTGTGAAAACAGCAATTTGTAGGCAGCCCTCTCTTGAGAGTTGGATTTTTTTCTATTCCCAGAAGTAAATGAGGCAAAAGTGTTGACCAGGCCCTGGAACTTTAATCTACCTTGTTAATAGCAATATGTTACTATAGTTTATAAAAGCATACAAATGCTAAATAGATTGTAGAATCATTTTTAGTAGATGAAATCATGAAAGTATAATACATTGATATTGAAGAGGTGTTTTGTTTGTTACCTCATATAGGCTACTCAAAAGCGTACAACCAAGAGTTCCAGCATATACTACACGAGCTAATAGAACTTGTGCTATTGCTAATTGATCCCTTGGCATCTAAGCATTGGTGGATTCTTTCTTGGTGGCAAACAAAGTCCTTATTGCGCCAACGCCATCCTTTCATGTTAGAGTTCTGGCACTGACAAGATAATTTGTGAGTTTTTGAGTGATAAGATATTGGAAATGTGTGCATGTACTCGCTTACCTAGAAGAAGGTAATTTATGAGCTGATGTTGTAGCTGACAGGAAGGGGCCATCGCCTTTGTTGTTCTCTTTGGACTGCACATGGTCAGGACATGTTATTACAGAGGTATTGAAAGCGTACTTGCAGCATGCATATAGATTAGCTGAAAAGGGGAAATAACTGACCTTCTTGGCAGCAGTGAAAAGTTCAGTCCAATGATGTTCATGTGGTGGTGTTGACACCCGTAATTCATTTGAGGTTTTTAAATACAGAGTTAAAAGAGGTGATACGTCTCCAACATATCTATAATTTTTGATTGCTCCATGCTATATTATCTACTGTTTTGGACATTATTGGGCTTTATTACACTTTTATATTATTTTTGGGACTAACCTATTAACCGGAGGCCCAACCCAGAATTGTTGTTTTTTTGCCTGTTTTTAGGGTTTCGAAGAAAAGGAATATCAAACGGAGTCCGAACGGAATGAAACCTTCGGGAACGTGATTTTCTCACCGAATAGAACTCAGGAGACTTGGACCCTACGTCAAGGCACATAACAAGAGGCCATGAGGTAGGGGGCGCGCCCTACCCTACCAGGCGCGCCCCCACCCTCGTGGGCCCTCTGTTGCTCCACCAACGTACTTCTTCCTCCTATATATACCCACGTACCCCCAAACGATCAGATACAGAGCCAAACCCTAATTCCACCGCCGTAACTTTCTGTATCCACGAGATCCCATCTTGGGGCCTGTTCCGGAGCTCCGCCGGAGGGGGCATCGATCACGGAGGGCTTCTACATCAACACCATAGCCTCTCCGATGAAGTGTGAGTAGTTTACTTTAGACCTACGGGTCCATAGTTAGTAGCTAGATGGCTTCTTCTCTCTTTTTGGATCTCAATACAATGTTCTCCCCCTCTCTTGTGGAGATCTATTCGATGTAATCTTCTTTTTGCGGTGTGTTTGTTGAGACCGATGAATTGTGGGTTTATGATCAAGTCTATCCATGAACAATATTTGAATCTTCTCTGAATTCTTTTATGTATGATTGGTTATCTTTGCAAGTCTCTTCGAATTATCAGTTTGGTTTGGCCTACTAGATTGATCTTTCTTGCAACGGGAGAAGTGCTTAGCTTTCGGTTCAATCCTACGGTGTCATTTCCCGGTGACAGTAAGGGCAGCAAGGCATGTATTGTATTGTTGCCATCGAGGATAATAAGATGGGGTTTTCATCATATTGCATGAGTCTATCCCTCTACATCATGTCATCTTGCTTAAGGCGTT